TCGGCAGACAGCAGCTTTTTGGTTGGGCGAGGGCCAGGATGATCAAGCAACACTCTGTGATGATGAGTGAGTCAATTGCAGCCAGAAAGCTGTGGTGTTTGTGACAGGAGCTGGTGAGTCTGTCAAGGAAGCTGGCTTCTGTACACATATGTCCAGCTTCTTGTCGGCAAATGCCAGCTTTTTGGGTAGGTGATTCCCTGGAAAGATCAAGCAACATGCAGTGATGAGGCATCAGTCAATTGCAGCCAGAAAGCTGCGGTTTGCAGTGGAGGAAGCTGGCTTTTCGGCGAAGCTCGCAGCTTTCACACCAGGTCCTGCCTTGTCGTGGACGTCGACATGGAAACTTTTGGCGACCAACGGATTCACATCTGTAGTGAGACAGGAAGAGCGACCTTCTATGAGGCAGACGGACGCTACATCGCGTCCATCCCCCTGTATGTGGCCGAGCGCTTGAATGCACAGCTGAACGCGGGCAGGCCAAGCGCCCCACTGCAGGCCAACCAGGAGACACTGTGTGCCGTGGTCAAGAAGGCCACACCACACACGAAACGAGGGAGACCAATCACGCTGATCTGGGCCTTCTTCCAACACCTGAATGAGGCCCTAGCCGACCAAGGAGTCGTCATAAAGCATGCCGTGGACTCCCCCCTCCTCCGAGAGGCCTTCCCCGATGCTAACCTATACTACAGCAAGATAGAGCCCCAGAACCTACGAGACAAGATCTCAGCCTTCGCACCACTCGCACACATACACACACTGGTGCGAGAATACACGGCCATAGATGCATGCAATGAGACACTTAACAACACACTCCCTCTCCCCGACACACTGATTGCTCACCTCACGGAGGACGGAGAGACGTTTGTCGTGGTGATTGCCCGGCTTGACTCGATAGTGGACGAGAAGCTTGACAGGCTGGCAGCCACGGCCCCTCAACAATGCCAGAAACTCAAGTGCGGACACTCATCGTCCCTCCCACTGACATACTGGGGAGACATCGACTACACCGACCTCCTCGCAGGCAAGACATTGAGGGGGCGGATTGGCATCGCTGTCTACCTCCTGGGGGGACACGGGGCGCCGAAGACCGAAGGCCTGAAAACGGCATTCAAGAGCAAGAGCTTCAGAACGAGCAAAGATGAGGACCTTTCTCTACGCAGTGTAGGCTTCTGGCTGGGACAGGCAGGGCTGGCTTACTTCCAGCGGCCGGCGCAACCCCCTGAACCCACCTACAGCAGATACAAGGGCCCGCACGTTTTCTCGGATGGCTCCCACCACCAGAACAACTTTGACCCTGACGCCAGAGCCCGGTGCGTCCTGGGCGTGTACTCACAAGACACGAGCCCAGAGACAAACCTCGCCTACGCACCGCCACCTTGGGCACACGGGGGCCACGCGGAGATTGTCGCGCTTGCGAGAGCGATCGACACCGCCGGAAAGGAGGGCTGGCACCACGTGCACATCTTCACCGACAGCCACTCGAGCATCCATCTCCTCTATCAGCTGCTATACGCGCCACAGAGAATGCGAAAGCGCACGCTGACCTCAACTGCCAAGTTAATGATCGTTGCTGCTGAACGGTACGGACGCCCCATAGCCCTACACTGGTCCCCGTCGCACACGGGGATAAAGGGAAACGAAAAGGCCGACAAACTGGCGAGCAAGGGGGCCCTTGACGGCAGCAGCCCGATGATAGACCTCACAAGGCTCGGCATCCCCCCCCCCCTAAATCGACGAAGTGGGGCCTGGCGAGACAGCCAAAGACGACGAAGATAGCGAATCGCATACTGACACCGGCAGAGGTGGCAGCAGAATACATGGAACACCATACCATGCGATCGCAACAAGCTGAAGGCAGCCCACGCCGATTTGCGTTATCTTCCGAGGGTGACAGGATCGCAAACCTCTGCCTGACATCTGCAGGAGGATTAGGTGTGGACGAAAGGGCGCGGATACTCGAGATACGCCATGGG